TGTAGGTTTTGTTTTTGCTGAGACTTTATGTTTTTCCTCTTTATTTTATGAATATGTTTATTAACTTTCTTTTTGGTTACCATGAAATTTACCCTTATCTTTCTAAGTTTGAAGCAGTCTATTATTACTTGGTATCGCCTTGCCTTCTTCTCCATTAGAAGGTTCTATACCTACACCGTTTAGCTGTATGTTTTTTAATGCTGTTGTTGTTAGTTGCCATTGAGTTGATTCTGACTCATGGCCGACCCCCTGTGTCCAGAGTAGAACTACTCCATAGGGTTTTCAAGGCTCTGACCTTTTGGAAGCAGTTCACCAGCCTGTCTTGCGAGGTGCCTCTGTGTGGGTTTGTAATGCCAGCCTTTTAGTTTGTACCATCCAAGGATTTTCCTTTAAGTCATTTCTTAATGTTCATTTTAATGTGATTTCATCACTATACGTTATACTGGGCTGGTAGTTCACAAATTAATATGACTGATGCTTGCCCCACTTAGAGGTGGATTCAGGCCCTTGGATAGATCTTGTCCTCAAAATTGCAAGTTTAGCTTTATAATCTGTGGATATTGCATCAAAAAAAACTCATTGCTGTTGAGTCAATTCCAACTCCTAGTGACCCTTTAGGACAGAGTATAACTGCCCCATAGGGTTTCCAAGGAGCAGCTGGTGGATTCGAACTGCTGACCTTTTGGTTAGCAGCTGTAGCACTTAACCACTGTAACACGGTAAATTATTCATTGGTGTAGAATTTTCTAGGTTTATTCATTGCTGAATTCATGTCCATTTGTTGTGGTACACGGAATTACTGTGCAGTTTGAGAGACTACAAGCTTTTTTATTCCCCTAGAGTATGCAGTCAGTCCAAGTAGGAGGTTAGGTTATTGACCAGTTTACTTTCAATGTTTTTCTTTAGGTGAATAATTTGGTCAAATCTACCTTAGATGTTTATGGTAAGATCAATATCTTGGTAAACAACGGAGGAGGCCAGTTCCTGTCTCCTGCTGAACACATCAGTTCCAAGGGTTGGCATGCTGTGATTGAAACCAATTTGATGGGCACCTTCTATATGTGCAAAGTAGGCGAGTATGATCTACAACCTGGAAAATCAAGGTGTCTTTATTTAGAGATCTCAGAGTACCCTGAAAGAAATTATTAGGGACCCAGAATCCCTCCGGTATTAACATTTACTGCCCTGATTTTCTCACACATGTATAGGAATGTAAGTTAGCACAATGATTTGGCAATATTTGGTAAAATATGAGTATCCTTTATCTTATCATCTTATTTTTAGGGATTTATCATAAAAAAATGATTAAGGATTTATATAGGCAGTCCCTGGGTTACAAACAAGATCTGTTCCTGTGTGCTTAAGAATTTGTAGGTAAGTCAAAGTAGGTGCATACAGTTCTTCTTTAGCCTTACTTTAGTGCAAGAAGATGCTCAAAGCCTTTTCAATGATTTCCAAGCTGCATGTACAGCAAGTGAAGGTGATTGTGATGAAGAAGGTATTGCGAGTAGGAGCTAGTTCAGTCGTTTCAAAGTGAGGGCAAATTTATGTAACATTAAGGGCAAGTAGGAGTTATGTACAAAGATCTAGCTACAAAGTTGTTCATAAAATTAGAGAAAACTCTCACTTACTTTGTTTTAAAGAAGTGAATCTGTTCATCTATTATAAGGACCAATTTATTAATTCAGTCAGGTCTTCAGGGAGAATACCAGCGACAGAGTCCTGACACTTTCTGACTAACAACTTTTAGCTTGTATGCATAGCCTTTGGATTAAAGGTTACGTTTTATAGGCAGTAGTGTTAAACTCCTGAAATTGGGTTTTAAGGATTCCCTTACAAACTTATAACTCTGTCCCAAAGAGTCTAACCCTAAGTCTAACATGGATTAGGTTTATAGTCTTTGTATCTTTAAGTCAGAGGTCTTGCAAACATTCCTAGCCTTCATCTTTATCTAACTAGCAGTATAAAGCTCTGTATTAGTTGTGATACAGAAATGGCTACTCCATTAAAAAAAAAAAAAAAAAAAATACTTATCTACTATCTAGTTAGTAAATAACCCTCTCCATAGCTCTTTTTATTTAAAAAAAAAAAAAAAAAAAAAAGACACTTAAATAAGATAGAACTTTATTTCTTCCTTGCACAAAAAGTTCTGGTAGGTGGTCTAGGGGTAGTACATAGAGGGAGAGAAAGAGAGAGAGAGAGAGATAAAACCAAACCAGTGGCCATCGAGTTGATTCTGGTTCATGGTGACTTCATGTGTGTGAGAGTAGAACTATGTTCCATAGGTTTTTCCGTGGTTGATTTTTCAGAAGCAGATTACCAGACCTATCTTGCGAGTGCCTCTGGGTGGACTCAAACCACCAACCTTTCAGTTAGCAGCCAAGGGCTTAACAGTTTCTACCACCCAGGGACTTGCACTCAGGGAAAGTATAGCATTTCCATAATCATTAGGGACAGAGGATCATTCTTATTGCTGTACTATTCTTGACATGTAGAATGGATGACCCTCACAAACATTATGCTAAGTGAAAGAAGCTAGACGAAAAAGAACACATATTGTATGATTTCATATATGAACTGTTCAGAAAAGACAAGTCTATAAAAACAAAAAGGAGATGAGTGTTTGCCTGAGCTTGGGGTGGGCTGCAAAAGGGCAAGTGGAGATGTTTTTGGAGTGATGGAAATGTCCGAAAGTAGGATTATGGTGATGGTTGCAAAACATTGTATTTTTATTAAAAATAATTAAATTGTACACTTAAAAAGGTTGAATTTTATGATGTGTAAATTATACCTCAATAAGGATGTTTATAAAAAAGAAACGTAAAATAAAATTAAAAACATATCAAGTAGGCATCATAGTGGGATGGGATTAGAGGGCGTCAGTACTCTAATAGGACTGTCACTGTATCCTACAGTTTACAACTCCTGGATGAAAAAGCATGGAGGATCTATTGTCAATATCACTGCCAGTTTTGATCAGGGAATACCAAATGCTGCGTAAGTGTTTTTATATATTTCTTCCTCTGTTTGGGGGTTTTGCCCTCTGAATGTAGGGAAGTGGGGTGGGGAAAATTCCTTGATTCAAGATCACTGATACCTTTAGTGAGCTGTGATATCAGTGCTTAGCGTTTTCCTTTATTTGAGCTTTAAAAACCTACTTCTAAAACATACCCATTCAGATTAGGGTTGCCAGATTTACCAAGAAAAGAAAGAACAGGATGCCCAGTTAAATAATTCTTTAGCATAAGTATGTCCGAAACATTGCATGGGACATACTTATGCTAAATGATTCCAAAATTCTAATTTTTGTTTGTTTATCTGAAATTCCAATTTGACTGGGTGTCCTATATTTTATCAGGTAGTCCTAATCTAGATGTTACTAAAGTAGGCATTAGTATTTGGGAACAGCCTTTTCATTAAGATGTAGAAATGAAACTAATCTGTGTGTTAATTTATATTTGATTATCATGAATATAACTGTTCAGTTTTAGACTGGACTGCTAAATTGTTACTCCTAACAAATAACCCAGAAATTTTTTCCAAAAGTTTCTAAGGTTTTGTACTTCTAATTAATCCCACTCTAAGCAGAGGGTGTGCTTCCACTAAGCAAATTCCATCCCCCTATGTACTTCCTGTGTTTTTCTTTCAGTCGTATTGGGTAGAGATAAAATTTGAACAGGCTTAAACAAAAATCCAGGGCCCAAAACCCACTGCCATTGAGTAGATTCTGATTCATAGTGACCCTATAGGACAGAACAGAACTGCCCCATAGGGTTTCCAAGGCTGTAGTTCTTTATAGAAGCAGACTGCCACATCTTTCTCCCGTGGAGCAGCTGGTGAGCTTGGACCACTAACCTTTTGGTTAGTAGCCAAGTGCTTTAGCCACTGTATCACCAGCACTCCTTAAATCCAAGACAGGGCTTCTCAAAGTGTGGTTTCTGGACCAGCAGCATTAGCATCACCTGGGAACTTGTTAGAAATGCAAATTCTCCAACCCAACCCCGAACTGAGTGCATCGGAAACTCTGGGGATGGGGCCCAGCAGTCTGGGTTTGCACGCCCTCCAGGTAATTCTGATGCACGTGGAACCCTGCATGTGGGACATGTTAGGTTCAGGCGGGATCTGCCTCGCCTCTTGGTTTTACTTGCCTCGCATTCACGTTCATTTTCGGGGGGGGCTCTCTCCACATACGGCAAAGAGAACTAGCGGTAGCTAGAGATCAACCCTCTAGTCGACAACAGAGTGCTTCTCAAATAGTTCCAGAAAAAAAAAAAGTACCAGCAAGAGCTATACAGGGAATTCTCACTATCTGACCCTACCTGGGTCATGTGCCCAGCCATCAACCAAATACTGTGGGAAGGGGGTTGTTCTATGCATGCTCAGCCGAGGACTGAGGGAGTGGGGTCAAATGTACTTGGACATGGACTGAGACCTCCTCAAATGAAAATCAAGGTGCTGTGACAAAAAACAGGGAAAGGCTACAGGACAGGCAAAATGATGTCACTCTACTTCCTTTTCCTGTCTGTTATTCTTTACTTACTTACTTACCTTTCTTACTATGTCGGGAGAAATAAAGTCGGTTCAGATTGTAGGTTCTTTCAGGCATTTCCTACTCTCACAGGCAACCATTGTTAGTTTTTCAGTATATATGTATTTTTTCTTCTACTTTTTTACAAAAATGGTAGCATACTATAAACACTGTTCTATATCTTACTGTTCTCAAAAGAACAATATATCCTGGATATATTTTCTTAAGAATATCTAAAGCACTTTCTTATTATCTTTTATGGCTACATAGTATGCCTTTGCATAAACCATAAATAAGTTATATCGTATTCAACTATTTTCCAATTGATAACCATTTAGGTTGTTCACAACCTTTTGTTATTACAAAAATAAATAATACAGAAGAAACAAAAAGAAAACAACCAAAACACCTGCAGTAATTAACATTATATATACAGCATATGGCATGTGAGCTAAATTGCAAGAAGTGTAATTGCAGGGTTAAAAAACTTGTGCCCTTGTAATTTTGATAGATGTTGCCTATGTCCTTCATAGAGGGTGTAGTTCGTTTATTTTGAGTTAAGTGAAGTGTAGCATCCTTTCATATATGTATATGTAGTATCTTTTGTATTTTCCCATTTCTTAGGAAGCCAGGAATTGGATTTTTAAGAGGCAATAGGGAAGGTTTTATTTCTGCACCATCAGATATCAGGCACTGAAAAAATATTATACAAATAATATGTATTCATTTGAGAAAAGGTAGAAAATATTGGTAATTTTTAAAACTTAAAAACCTCCTGAAATGTCACCTGGAGACAAATCGCTAAGCAGTTAGTTTAAGAGTGTTTATCCTGATGGTGTTTTTGTTTGTTTATTAATTTTGCTTTCTTTTCAACAAAGGAAGTACAGATATAGAAAAAGTAAGTCTGTTGTTCTTGCCCATCCCAATCCACTCTCCTAAGTTTAAAGTTTCTGGTCAAATTGAAAAAATGATGTATTTACCTACGTGCGTGAGTATGTTTATATGCTTATTTAAAAACACAAATGGAATTATATTTTGAATACTCTTCTTCAAGTTGCTTTTTGACTTAATATTCATTTTTTATCAAACCAAGATGGGTCAAGACTTCCACCTCAGATCAAGATGGAGTAACAGGGACAGGTTTTAACTTCCTACCTGAAACAACTAAAAAAAAAGGACAAAAAATACAAAACAATGACTCGAGACATTGGATATCAGGCAACGAAGAACAGTAATCCCTGAAAAACAGGAAACAAATGAGACAAGCCGTTAGATTACTCCGGTTTACTGCCTGGTGAAAATTTCCTGATCGTAACTCAGGTAGGGGAACTGAGGCAGAGACTGGCTGTCTCTCTTGAGTTGAGAGAAAGAACCAGAAAACTAGAGAAGTCAAGGTGGCTCGACTTTACAGGACAGAATACTGGCAAAGAGACAGCTGCAATGATACAGAACTTGACCTGAAGATCTGCAAAGGTTCTCTTTCCAGTATTGAGCTGAATACTGATCAGTGCGTGCATGTGAGACAATTACCTTAGGATGGGGAAAGAACCACCTGAAAGGATTAGAAGGAACAGTGCTTGGAGCTCACAAAGGGCCTGGAATAGTGCCTGTTCCCAGCATCCAATATATAAAACTTCATAACTGAACAGCTAGACTGGAAAACCTTGGTCTTGCTTCAATAGTAGGGGAAAGTATCCCTAGACTAAAAGCAGCTCTGGTCCCACTAAACAGTGCTTAAAGGCAAGTCACAAAAGGATCAAACTTCTTCCAAGTAGCTTAATAGCATCCCAAAACAAAGCTCAAGAATATTTATAGGAATATACTGAAACCTGTAGAATACTTCGATGGTATAGTCAATATTGAATATTCCACGGACTACCAAAAGAACGAACAAATCTGTCTTGGAAAGAAGTACAACCAGAATGCTCCTTAGAAGCAAGGATGGCGAAACTACGTCTCACATACTTTGGACATATTATCAGGAGGGATCAGTCCCTGGAGAAGGACATCATGTTTGGTAAAGTAGAGGGTCAGCAAGAAAGAAGGAGACCCTCAATGAGAAGGATTGACACAGTGGCTGCAACAGTGGGCTCAAGCATAGCAACAATTGTGAGGATGGCACAGGACCAGGTAGTGTTTCGTTTTGTTGTGCGTGGGGTCGCTATGAGTCGGAACTGACTTGACGGCACCTAACAAGAACAGCAACATAGAATACTTCAACACCTCAACAACAAAAAGACCAATACTTCAATTAAAAAATGGGCAATGGACATGAACAGACACTTCACCAAAGAAGACATTCAGGCTAACAGACATATGAGGAAATGCTCGCAATCATTAGCCATGAGAAATGCAAATCAAAACTACAAGGAGGTACCATCTTGCTCTGACATAACTAGCGCTAATCAAAAAAACAGAAAATAACAAATGTGGGAGAGACTTTGGGAAGATTGGAACTCTTATTCACTGTTGGTGGGAATATAAAATGGTACAACTACTATGGAAAATGATACGGCGCCTCCTTGAAAAGCTAGAAATAGAAATACCATATGATCCAGCAATCCCACTCCTAGGAATATAGCCTAGAGAATTCAGAGCCGTCACATGAATCGACTTTGAATACCTATGTTCACTGCAGCATTATCCACAATAGCAAAAGGATGGAAACAATCTACGTATTCATCAACAGATGAATGGATAAACAAATTATGGTACATACACATAATAGAATATTACACAACGATAAAGAACAATGATGAATCCGTGAAACATCTCAGAACATGGGTGAATCTGGAAGGTATTATGCTGAGTGAAATAAATCAGTCACAAAAGGACAGATATTATACGAGATCACTATTATAAAAAACCCAAGAAAAGATTTACACACACAAAAAACCAATCTTTGATGGTTACGAGAAGGGGTGGTGGGGAGAGGAAACCACTAACTAGATAGTAGTCAAGTGTTAATTTTGCTGAAGGGAAAGATAGCATACAATCTAGGGAAGTCAGCACAACTTGACCAAGGGAAAGTTTTGGAAGCTTCCTAGACATATCCAAGCACCTTGAGGGACCAAGTTACTGGGGCTGAGGGCTGGGGATTATGGTCTCAGGGGAAATCTAGGTCAATTGGCATAACATAGTTCATAAAGAAAATGTTCTACATCCTACTTTGGTGAGTAGCATCTCAGGTCTTAAAAGTTTTCGAGCAGCCATCTGAGATACGTCTATTGGTCTCATCCCATCCGGAGCAAAGGAGAATGAGGAAAACCAAAGACACAAGGAAAATATTAGTCTAAAGGACTAATGGATCACATGAACTACAGCCTCCAGCAGCCTGAGTCCAGAAGAACTCGATGGTGCCTGGCTACCACCACCGACCGCTCTGACAGGGATCATAATAGAGGGTCCTGGACAGAGTGGGCGAAAAAAATGTAGAACAAAATTCAAATACACAAAGACCAGACTTTTT